CTTCCTTCCTTCCTTCCTTCCTTCCTTCCTTCCTTCCTTCCTTCCTTCCTCCCTCCCTCCCTCCCCTCCCCTCCCCTCCCCTCCCCTCCCTTCCAAAGAGCCTTTCAGCCTGGGCTTTTTTCCATTCTCACCAGCTTCATCCCCTCAATTCCGTCTCCATGTGGAACAAAGCAATCCTAATTTGTTCTCTATTTTATAAGAAAAGTGCATGTTCCAGGTTGGGCTCAAGCTATCCCCAAACAGCTGTTCCATGCATGTAACAGTTTGTGCATGAATCATTTAGCAGGTTCCCCACTTAAACATCTTTATAATGTGTCCATATGTGATCACTGCTCTGCTGGCTAAGTTTCTCTATTCCATCCTGTTTTCTCTTACAGCTTGCGCAGGTTTCTGGAGCCTCAAGGTAAGGACCATTCTTCCAAGGGAGGTGGGAAAAGTAATATTGGGCGAGGGGATTTCTTTTTCAGTCTGACAACTTTTTATGAGAAGCTATCTTAGAACATGGGAACTCAGTCCACGTTGCTCAGTTTTGCCCATCTCTTTTCAAGTCCATTAAGTGTGATTCTTTTTCAGTCTTCCCTCCTTAAGTCATAGAATATATATAGGATATTTTGCATACATAAAATAGGTTATGTCATTGATCTCCGCATGTTGTAAGGTTACATTACTGTGACTTGAAGATTGAATAAAATTATGTTGCACTAGAACAGTACTAGGGTGTATTTTTTTCAGGAGTAAGAGCTTAACTGGCTTTAGAAGGATGGAAGGCTGAGTCAGCCTTGAGCCAGATCGAACTGCCGGCAGTAGGCAGAGTTAGCCTGCAGTGCTGTATTCTAACCTTTTCGCTACATTCAGAAGGTGCAGCTAGTCCAGAATGTGGCAGTGCAGGCACTGGTGGGCGTGTTATACCCTTGGGACCCCACCTCTCCACAAGCTGCACTGGTTGCCCATAGGCTTCTGGGTACAATTCAAAGTGGGTTGTCTCCTTTAAAGCCCTTCGTGTATCTCACTCATCATCATATTTCTTGTTGATTCTAACCATTGCGCCAGCCGTGGTGGTGCAGTGGTCAGAATGCAGTACTGCAGGCTACTTCTGCTGGCTGCCAGCAGTTCGGCAGTCCAATTCTCACCGGGTCAAGGTTGACTCAGCCTTCCATCCTTCCGAGATGGGTAAAATGAGAACCCAGATTGTTGGGGGCAAGAGGCTGACTCTGTAAACTGCTTAGAGAGGGCTGGAAAGCACCGTGAAGAGGAATTATAAGTGAAAGTGCTAGTGCCAGTCATGACATTATAAAGCTACATTATTTGTGGGACTGTCTGTCTCCAGCTGTTTCTGTCCATTCAATGAGATCTCACAGAGTCTCTATGCTTTGGAGCCCAACAACTAAACAGCATTTAGCAGGATCCTGGAAATGTGTCTTTTTTAATGGTACTTGGCCTCTGGAATAATATCCATGTCCTTGAGTACAGGGTTGTTTCTTCAGCCCTCTACTGTTCACTTTGATGACCCACAACTGCTGTGCCAAATCTGCTACAAAACATATTGTGGAGTATGCAGATGCCATGTGGGTCTTATCTGGGATGAAATTGAGGTTGCTTATAGGGAAGAGGTGAAGGTTCTGGTGGACGGGTGCAATTAAAGTGACCTGATTCTAAATGTTAATAAAACAAAGGAGGTCATTGTAGATTTTGGAAAGAGCCTGCATGGTCATATTCCACTCAGTATCAAGAATGCTGCTGTAGAGGTGGTCAACAGTATTGGATATCTGTGGGTGCCGATAACTAACAATTGGAACTGGTCTCTCCACATGTCATCCTTAGTGAAGCATGGGAAAGCAGCGCCTGCATTTCCTGTGTCAGATGAGGATCTTCTTCTTCTCTCTTGGCCACTTTTTACAGAGGCACAAGTTCAGAGCATTTTAACAAACCGCATCATTGTTTAGTTTGGTGGCAGCAGCACCACAGATAGAAAGTCCCTACAGAGAGTGGTGAGGACAGCGGAGAAGATTATAGGAAGCTTGCTTCCTGTCATTCAGGAATCTGCTTATAAGCGCTATGTGCTTAGAGCTCAAAGCATCGTTAGAGACCCCACACCCCCACTGTTTCTGTTGCTCCCCTCTGGTAGGAGATTTAGGAAGAGTGGACTTCAACTCCCAGAATTTTTGGAGTCCACACGTCTTAAAAGTTGCCAAGAAAAATTTGGGTTTATAGGGTTGTCTCTAGCTACTTATGAATTTTTCTGTTTTTTGGTATTGGGAATGTGGTCCAGAACCATCCATGGTTGGGCAGCTTCTAAATTGCCAAAATAAATACATTCAGATGAATTGAAATGACAGCTATATGGTTCTTGGTTGTAAATACAGACCAATACTTACATGTCAGAATTTTTGAAGATTTCACAAATTGGAATTTTGTTTTGTTGTTGGTTCAATTTATGGTCTGTATTAAGGAATATAGTAGAAAGTCTTCAAGTTGAAAATGGAGAAAAAATTATGTAGCCAAGAAAGGCTATCTGAGGTGCTGCCGCCACCAAACTAAACAATGATGTGCAAATAATAAGAGCTTTTGTTTAATCTACTATATATGCATATATTTTGTATTGTTCATTCCTTCTTATGCTGTTTGAACTATTTTGAACTATTTTTCTTCAAAGGGATCTGATTAGTCAAGTATTAGTCAAGCAGAATAATATACAAATCTGGTTATCTTTCTTTGCCCATAACAGTCTTATCTGAATAATTTGGTAAAATATCTCTTAATATGCTGTATTTACTAGCATTAGTAAATTTAATATTAATAAATCAAGCAAGCAGTTTAATAGCTAACAATTAAGCAATTAAAATTAATTTTCCTAGCATTTGTTAAATTAATTCACTGTTAATTTAACAGGAAATGAATCTTAACAATAAAATTTATTTTGCTGAAGTAATCACAATGGTTAATGATCCTCCAACTCAACTTGGGTTGCTTATTAACTCTTTGGTGAATATTGCTACCCACAGTATCCTTCTTCTAAAACAAGGGTCTTCAAACTTGGCAAGTTTAAGACCAACTCCCAGAATTCCTGAGCTAACATGACTGGAGGAGGAATTCTGGGAGTTGAAGTCCACAGCTGTCAAGTTTGAAGACACCTGTTCTAAAATAAACAATAGCTAAAATGGCATCTTCTGTTAAAAGGGGAAGAATGAATATTTGGGATGTTATTTAATTCAGGAAGACTTGCTTTTTATACCTAAAGGGGTTTGAATGCTCTTAGAATCCAGAGACAATGTCATATTTTATTTTTTAGAGCTAGTAAATCCACCGTATCTTTGTTTTTTGCAAGCGTACCCAATTCCTCCACTATCTGCAGAAGAGGTCCAGTCCAGAGCCAAGCGAAGAACGCGACAACATGTTGAACATGCAGAGGAACCAGAGATCCGAAATACTCCCGCCAAGGGGTAGCACTGCCAACGGACAAGCACTGGAAAGAATGACGCCATTAACAGTTTCCTCTCCATCGGAGGTAACCAAAATGTCAAAATGTTGTGGTTGTTAGTCACACCCAACTGGCTTGCATTCACAATCATTTGCAGTATCTTGTGATAGCAATAGCATTTAAGCTTATACATTGCTCCACGGTGCTTTGCAACACTCTTTGGGTGGTTTTATGATGTGAGCTTATTGCCTCCAACAATTTGGGTTCTTGTTTTGTCAACCTTGGAAGAATGGAAGATTGAGTCAATCTTGAGCCGGTCAGGATTGAATTTGGGACTGTGGGCAGAGTTTGCCTGCAATACTGCATTATAACCACTGCACATGTGGTATACCATGTGATTGTAGCTTTTGATCTTTTTTTGCCAGCTTCTGGCAAAAGCACCCATTCAGAACAATGGGTTCGTACTTACACCATGGTGATTTGCTTAACAATCATCATAAAAATGATGGTCATAAGTTGGGGTCCAACTTGACGTATGACTTAGGATGGATATTCCAATCCCAATTATGGTTGTAAATTTAGGGGCAGGTTCTTAATTTAATGAATGCAATTGAGTTCTAATTTTTTCAGTGAGCGTGATGGCTCAGCTGTTAAAGACGCTGGGTTTGTCAGCTGCAAAGCTAACAGCCCAGTTGCCGCATGATAGGGTGAGCTCACATTACCTGCCCCAGCTCCTACCTACTTAGTGTCAGGATTCCAGTAGTTGCCCTAATTAGCCAAGAGTCATCAATCACGTTCTCCAGTTAGAGATTTGGAGGCAGAAATTCTGGTAGCTTAGTTATAATCTTTGCAAGATAAGAACGGAATGCACTTTCGTTTCCAAACTTGCTGCCCTGCTCTTTCAAATTTCTTTCCTCCCCATCTCCTTCTGCTCATGGCAACTCCAAAACAGGCATAGAAATGTTTTATGAGTTGACATTTAGCAGTGTTGTGGTTAGCTGGCAGCAGGTGCGGACAGCTGAGGAGAGCAAGGACTCAGATGAGGGGCCAGGACCATTAGGGAGTGGACTGCTGCCTCAGAGATTGTGGGGGCTGGCAGCAGTGATGAGGAGGTTTCTGAGGAGCCTGTGCCCTGTGCGCGTGTTTGCAGGATTGCTCGTAGGAAAGAGCAGCTACAACAGAATGGGCGACTCGGGAGTAAGGCTGCAAGGTAATGGCCCCTCCTTCAAGAAGATAAAAGCCAGCTGTGAATCAGATGTTCTTTGCAGAAGGCAAAGACGTTTTGAAACTCCAGCCTCGTGGACATTCCAATATCCTTAGTTTGTATTTGAATATTCTTGTGTTCCAAATTATTTCTTGTCTGTTATCTTTTGGCAAGTCTCGCACAGTTTGCCAAGGCTTGTGCTTATCACAGCTAATTACAGGTATTTTGTAAAAGCATTACAAGGTTTCTGATCCTTTTGGATTGTGTTTGATTTGTTGGAAAAGGGTGTGGGGCAGAACAAGCAGTTTGAAAGCATGCAAATGCAAGTAGATAAATAGGTACCACTTCAGTGTGAAAGTAACAACGTTCCGTGCACCTTAGGGTATAGTGGATGCTGGCCACATGGAAATGTCTTCAGACAACACTGGTTCTCCTGCTAAGAAACTGAGGCGAGCACCACTGGAATCAGACATGACTGGGCAAGAGAAACCTTTACCTTTTCTATTCTTTCTCATTATAGGTAGGTCGAGGACATGCAGCAATGAAGAAATTAGTTCCTGTAAATGGCAGGAACCCAACAGAAAGTAAGTGCTCTTAAATTCTTTCAAGTTAATCTGGCTTCTTTTTGCCAGAACTCTCCTTGAACTATAATGGTATTAGGTATATAGTAAAACTAGAACATAGAACAGTAGGGTTGGAAAGGATCTAACCCTCTGCTTGACCCTGTATCATTGTGGACAAATGGTTGGCCAGTCTTTTCTTCAAAACCTCCAGTGATAAAGCACCCACAACTTCTGGATGTAAGTTATTCTACTGTTGATTATTCACACTGACCGGTACCATAATTTCTCCTTGGTTCTCTCTTAGTTGGATCTCTCTTTGATAAGCTTCCACCCATTGCTTCTTGTCCTTCTGGATTCACAATCCAACATTGTACTCTATTCTTTCCTCTTAGAAGTGCTTCACTGACTCCACCAAGGATATTCCTTTCCCTTCCTCACCTTTCTATCGTCTGCTGCTTCCAAATCAGATCCAGTGTTCGAGAGATGCTCAGCCTCACTGGCTCAGTTTTTACCACAATCCAGTTAGGATTTATCTCCTATTGGTTCTACATTATTAAGAAGGAGGGATATGTGGACATACCTGGAAGTCGCCAGGGTTGTAAAACACTGCTGTAGAAAAATGAAGGCAAAATTTGGTCTTCTCTTTCATTCCTGCTTCCAGGTGAGACCTTAGAGGTGTCAACATTGCTCATGTTCTAACAGATTAAAGAGTTGGATGGGACCTCCTATCGTAGGTCATCCAGTCCAACCCACCGCCCAAGCAAGAGAACCTACCCCATTTCTGACGGATGCCAGTCCAATCTCTTCTTGAAAGTCTCAAGTGATGAAGCTCCCACAACTTCTGAGGGCAACTTCTGTTCCATTGGTTGATTATTCTCACTGTCAGAAAGTTTCTCCTTATCTCCAGGTTGAATCTCTCCTTGTTCAGTTTCCATCCATTATTCCTTGTCTGGCCTTCAGGTGCTTTGGAAAATAGCTTGACCCCTTCCTCCTCTCTGGGGCAGGCCCTCAAATATTGGAAGCCTGCTATCCTGTCTCCCCTGGTCCTTCTCTTCACTACACTAGCCATGTCCAACTCCTGTAACCGTTCTTCATATGTTTTAGTCTCTAGTCCCCTAATCATCCTGGTTGCTCTTCTCTGCACTTTTTCTAGAGCCTCAACATCTTTTATATAATGTGGTGACCAAAACTGGATGCAGTATTCTAGTATGGTCTTACTAAGGCTTTATAGCGTGATATTAGTACCTCACTTGATCTTGATTGTATCCCTCTGTTAATGCGATTTAGGATTGCATTAACTTTTTTGGCTGCTGCTGTCTGGCTCATATTTAGCTGGTTGTCCACTAAGATTCCAAGATCCCTCTCACAGTTGCTAGTATTGAACCTGGTTTCACCCAGTCTATATGTGTACATACATATTTACACACATTTAGTTCCCTGTAATTTGTATGGGATATCCAGTTCCAATACACTTGTGCTTTCTAAAGTTGGGAGCCGTTGTAAAGCAATCCTGAATAAATTCTGTCATCCAAGCTAGCATTGTGTGGGTTTCTGTAACTCATGGATGTTGGAGTAGAGAAATGAATTGGGAGCATCAGAAAGCTAAGTTCTGGTCTTCCAGGGCGATCCAAGGGAGCCCATAGAACAGTGGCAACTTCAAGATAGGTGGACTTCAACTCCCAGAATTCTTCAGCCAATAAGGCTGGTTGGGGAATTCTGGGTGTTGAAGTCCACTTATCTTGAAGTTACCAATGTCAAGAAACATTGACCATAGAGACATTGATACAAAATTTCTCTTTCATTCCCAGATGATACCAGGGGGTGTTTTTCAGTGGATGTGGGAAAGGGACTGTGGGTCCCTTTTCAATTCCACATATTTAAATGCAAGTAAATTGTTTAACAAGTTCTAATCACATTTCCTCGGCACTACTGGTGCTTGTTTTTTTAAAGGCAGAATATGGGAAGGCGGGAGCAGGCGATGTTTGCTTTTTCAACTAGGCCTTTCCCCGTTATTCAAAGCACCTCATACCAGGAGTGATAAAAGCTGCCTTGTTAAATTTACAGACTAGTTTTTCTAGTTCCTGTGAAACCACAAGGCTAGCACTGTCAGAATCTGTGCTGACTTGAAGACACTAGCATGAAGTCAACTTTGGTTGCAGACATGGCTAGTTTTGCTTGTCTTGCTCAGTCTTCACCATCATCTGTGCAGTTTGGTTTGGTTTTCAGGGAGAATTTTATGTTCATCTCCTTTATTTATCCATCTGTTTGTTTTCTATTCTATTGAGTTTTGTGGGGGGTTGCATTTCAAGAGAGAGGGGGGGCTATCTTACTTCATCCCCATTGCTGACATCCACCAACAATTATTTGAAAAATGTAGCTTTGCTTTTATAAGGACAAGCAACTGAGTTACACAACTCTTGAGTCTAAAAAGGTCCTTGCAAATGTCCCAGAATTTCCCCATAGCAATTCATGCAGCTGGGAAATCAGAAGCAGCTGTTTAATTCTCCCCCTCCTCCTCCTCCTCCTCCTCTTCCTCCTAATGACACAACAGTGGTAGGACTCATCTGGGGGGGGGGGGGGGGCGGAAATGAGTCTGCCTACCGAGATGAAGTGGACCGGTTGCTTTTGAGGTGTGGAGACCATAACTTGGTCCTCAACACCAATAAGACCAAGGAGCTTAGAGTGGACTATAGAAGGAACAGATCAGACATCCAGCCCTGGTTTATCAATGGAGACCGAGTGGAGCAAGTGGGCAGTTTTAAGTTTCTGGGTGTTACTCTAAAAGAGGACCTGACCTGGGGGGCTCACATTGCAGCCCTGGTCAAAAGGGCCCAGCAGAGATTAGACTACCTGAGGCTTCTCAGGAAACAACAACTGAATGAAAAACTGCTGGTGACCTTCTACCACTGCACCATAGAGAGCATTTTAACATATTGCACCTCTGTATGGTTTGCCAATTGCAGATAGGCAGATAGGACAGCACTCCAGAGGGTTCACATCATTGCCCAGAAGATCGTTGGTTGCCCTCTCCTCTCTTTGGAAGAGCCTCTTTATAGCTCCCGCTGCCTTAAGAAAGTTCAAAACATTCTCAAAGATCCATCTCATCCTGGGTATCCCTTATTTTGAACTATTACCATGTGGCAGATGGTACAGGACAATAAAAACAAGGACAAACAGGCTGAAAAACAGCTTCGATCCCAGGGCAGTAGCTCTTTTGAATTCTTCTGTGCAGTGCAATGTGGTGCGGGTATTGGAGTTTTCAATTCAGTGTGTGGAGTGTGGAGAATGTGTATGTTTATTTTCATAGTCATACATTGTACACTGAAGATGGTATTTAATTTCATTGTACAAGGTGCCATGACAATAAAGTAAACTAAACTAAACTCCTCCTGGTCACCCTCCTCCTCCTCCTCCTTGTACTTCTTCCCCTCCTCCTTTTATCTAACTCAAATTGCTCCTATTCCTTTCTAGCTCTGAGTCGATCTTTTGACACCTTCATCAACAAGGTGCCCCCCAAGGACTGGAAGAGGTTCATGAGGCTCCTCAAGTTGACCGACAATGAAATTGACTCAGCAGAAAAATCTTCACAATATGGGAATGAGCAGCATTATCAAATGCTAAGGACCTGGCTGGACAAGAACGGCCAGGCAGCCACCTTGAGTGTCCTTCTGGACGTGCTCAGTAGCATGGACTTAAAGGGTATTGCGGAAGAAGTCACATCGGCTCTCATCGCTCAACATTTCTATGTGTACGAAGAGTAGGTTCTTGGTTCCTTCTTGACCATCTGGAAAAATGAGAAGGAGTGGCTAGCTTCTTCTCACCAAGACATACATTGTTTACATTTTAAACCAAGCCAGCGCTGCCTTTCCCCAAGAAGGTGTGTTTTTTTTAATTTAAATATTGGTAGCTAGGACTGTGCTGGACCTTAGACTCCAAGTCAAAATATGCTTTCAGAGTAGATGTGGATTATGGCAGCCACAATCGTTTCCCTGTCCTTACAGAAATTGTGTCCTTTGACAAACTTTGCCAGGTCACCATTTAATCTCAGGAAAATACACCCCTGGAGTTAAGGAGGTGCCAAGCCGTGGCTTAGATTTTGGGCTTTGGGCTCACTTGACGCTTCCTTTCTTTATTCAACCTGGGTTTTCTAAGGATGCATAACTGCTCTTTAAGCCCCACCCACCCCCAAAATCCGTTTCTCTAAAGAGGTGCAATGCGAATTTGGCTTTTCAGAAATTATCAAGTATTACTACACCGGAGTTATTTTGAAAGCTGTCCCATTTTTTTCAGTACAAATGATGTTTTTTCTTTCCCCCATGAAAGTTATTTTTGATGGCCAAATGGATCTTTTTCAATTATCAGTATAAATTCTGTATTTTTTAAAATAATAATAATTTGTATTAGGCAAATTTGGGGGTCACATTTTTTTGAATGTGATGTGAACAAAAAGAGTTTAAGGGAAATCATCTTTGTACATGTGTATAAAGTGTTTGCTTCTAAATCCTGCTGCTATTTAAGCACAAAAGGAACCTCCACAAATAAGAACAATCCTTTCACTTGATGGGGCTAGTATTTGCCGTTCTGTTGACACTGTGAAGTTTTTCGTACGTTTTCTGCTGAATTGAATTCTCCTGGGTAGAAAATGCCAAATCTTCAACACGGATTTCTTGTATCTACGTCTCTGGGTGCTGTGTATAGAGGCGAGAAATACTCCGTCCCTTAATTCAATACAGCAGGGGTCCCCAGCCCATGGGCCACGACCCGCTTGTAGGCCGTGGCCTATTTGCAACCGGGCCACACATGAGTGATGTGCTGGTGTGTAAGAACCTGGGAAGGTTGGGATACGCGGCAATAGAGTATATTATGGAGCTATCCTTAAGAAAATTTCTTCTGCAAGGACTAGAAGCATTTTCTCTTCTTTTTAATTCAGGGAAAATTAATTCTCTCAAGAAATGAAATACTATGCCCGAAATTATTTTCCATCTCCGTTTTAAAACAAGCTATTTATAAACATTTCTCTAAAGAAGGGATTGTTCTTAAAAGCACTATGGAGGTCTCTAGGAATCTCTTTTCAGTAGGAAGTTTGAGAAGAGAGGACAGAAGGATTTTCCAATTACTTGTTTACAATTTAGCATTAATGCGCATTCTACAGGGCAGGATCCAGATCATCAGCAAGAGAATTATGTATAGCATGCTGATGAAATCAGCCCGAGTTCATTTAACTTTTTAAAATAGCCTGTTAATTTGAGTTCCTTAAAAATACGTGCCTGTATTTGCTGCTGGAAGGTCAAAATAGGAGCATTAAAAAAAGAAAAGTGCTGATCTTTAAAAAAAAAATGTTACCAAAATAATAATAATATATATATATCTCCCTGGTAATTGAAGTTCTTTAATTGCAAGGTCCTATTTCTGGACCTTGCATGGTCCAGAAATGTGCCTTTGTGCACATTTGCAGTAAATGTGACAAGGGTTTTATTTATGGCAATTTTAAAAACATGCTTATGAATATTTTATTTTATAAATTATTAGTCTGGACCACAAGAAAGGGGCGATTTGGCCAATCGCACTCCGTGTATTTACAAGCAAATGTTTGAGGTTGTCAATTGTGGAGCTCTGCTCCGTTCCCTCGGTCTCATCCTTCATGCTGAAGGACAATTTCCACCGATCCTTCTTCCTGGGATTAATTAAAAATGCAAGAAAATCACCCTAGGAGAGACATGTCCCACCCCCTCCTGTTTTCTTCTCCCTGATGAAATTCTCCTGAAAAAATATGCTTATTATTCTCAATGTATTGAGCAGATAGATAAGAGATTACTCTAAATTCGAAGTTGGAAGTGATAAAAACAGCTAATAACTGGGATGGTTAAAATAAGCCCCCACCCTCCACTAACTCACCTCAATTAGAGAATATATCTATCTTGATATGAGTGGTGCTGTGGTCTAGAGGGTGGAGCTATCGCCTCACAGTCAGGAGGCTGTGAGTTCAATCCTAGGTAGAGGCAGGTATTTCTGGGCACAATGAGAATTTATCTGCTGAGCAAAATGGCATCTGGCCAATCTGATCCAGCTGTGATATATTGGGCAGGTTCCTGGCAGTTTGTTCTCATTTCTAGGGACTTGACACTCATGCAACGCTTCCAAATAAGAGGAAGAGGAGCAGGGATAGATTGATCGCCAACCCCCCACTTAATTTATGTGAAACCTCACTTGTTGGATTTTTTTTTTTTACAATGGTCCTCTTTGGTTCCATTTAAAAATTATGTTTTTTTAAAAAAAATAAAGCCTCCCCCCACCATAGATTTATAGGTGTGAGTTATTCCCCCTTTGGGGTTTGAACTATGCTTGCAAAAAATAAAATAAAAATCAGGACCAAAGTGACTTTCATGAGTGAGATTTTGGCAACGTGAGGAGCAGATTTTTAAAAAAAAAAAAAACTCCTAAAAAGCTACAATTTGTGGCACTGAGCCTGCCAATCAGTCCATCAGGATAGAATCTTTTGGATTGAGTTGAAATTCCAAGAAAAGTTCAGTTGACCTTGACTTCACTGAGATCTTGCAACATCTTGGTTTTTCCACCCCTTTTATCTGTGATACCAGCTCTCCTTTGAGGCTGTAGCGGGTCAGTGCCTTCACATCCCTCTTGTTAGGGTCAAAGGTGGCCCCGAAGTTGTGTAGAACCACCGGCCTTCATGCACTGACCTCCTTTCAGTGTTGAATTCGCTGCTTTTGACATGCCACGTTTGATTCTGGATAAAGACTATTCGTGTTTGATAGTTGGTTTTATTCAGTTCTCTCTGTTCCATGTCATGGCATTGCTGTTTGGCTAGCTTACTGTGCTAGCCCTGTGTCCTTGATCCCGGACAATATTTGAATGACAGTGTTTTAGTAGTCAACAATTTAATTCAAGAGGGGTGCGTGGGTGGAAGGAAAGCAGAGAAGATTGCAAGGTTGAGTGGCCCTGCCATCTTTCCATTCCCAGAAGGACCGTCCAACAGATTCCTTGCGTGGACAACTGGATAAGCCTCCATATCCAGTTTACTCAGCTGTGACTTTACACGGTGACTTACAGTTTTGAGTGAAAATAACATGTTGTTTTTTTTTAAAAAATAAAATCAGGGTGAATTTGAATTTGCCTTACTCTGTGGCATTTCCAGAGGCCAATAAAAATGCCAGAGAGCCATGAGAATGTTAATTCGGTATGGAATCACTGCAGCATTAAAGAGAAGGGGGTGCATAATGATAGACCCCCCTGAGCCAGTTTTTAAAATCTTGAAGTCTCCTGTGTGCATTTTGCATGTGGTACGTGACGGAAGTCCTGATGACCAAGTCCATCTGATTAAATTTTTGTGGATTTGGAAGACCTGTAAATCTTTGAGATTCAACTTATTCCTATCTGATGTATTGGCTGAACCCATAGGGTGGTAAGAAGCCCAGATCAGCTGGGATCTGGATCCTGCCAAAGGTAGAATGCCATGTTTGTACCACAATTAGGGAACGAAAGACGGGGTGTAAATAGTTAACCTTCAAATTGAAGTCTGTTTCAAAGTTGTATCTGTTTGTAGATATTTAAGTTTATAATATTTTTTTCCGTTTTTTTCTTCTTTTTGAATGTTTTGTTCATGTAGAAATATCAACTTAAGTATTTTAGATAGTAGGACTCTTTAAAAAAAATAGTATTCAAATTTGTGTAAATCCTTGTTTACACACTTGCTTTTTGCTTCTTGTGCGTTAAAAGTTACAATGAAAGCAGGTTGATGAAGCTATTGTGAAATTCCGTTTTGCAATAAATAACATTAAAAATTGCTCACTGTTGTACAGTCTGTTAAGATATATTTCTACTGTAGTGTTAAGCAAACAGAAGAAATGTTCTTTTCTTGTTTTTGGTATTAACTTTTCTCCCCAACTTTTTGTGTTCTTCATCATTAAATCCCTCAACAGCCCACCCCCCAATGAGAGGGAAAAAGAGGATGGGAATCAAATCTTCACTGGATTCAAATTTACCATACTACTTAGTGGTGGGATTCCAAATTTTTTTACTACCGGTTCTGTGGGCATGGCTTGGTGGGCGTGGTAGGGGAAGTTTACTTCAAAATCCCCATTCCCTCCCCACCCCGCTAACCTGCTTTCCAGCTCCGTTCTCCTGTGCAGGGCAACAGAAGAAAATTCAGCCAATCAACTGGGACTCAATGAGAGGCAGAGAATAGATGGGGGCGGGACCAGTCGGAGGTGGCATTTGCTGGTTCTCTGAACTACTCAAAATTTCCACTACCAGTTCTCCAGAACTGGTCAGAACCTGCTAAATACCCCCTCTGCTACTTCTGGATTATTTCTTTTTTAAAAAAATGAGGGGTTAGTTTGACTCTCTGCATATTCTCTTCTATCTTGTATCTACGTGACTCAATCAAAAATTTCAGGATATGAGCAAGTGAGCTTTGTGCTACAATCCTGAAGTCAGCTCCAGGTTTGGGACACAGGGACTAGGCAGGTTACCTTTAACATGAACCCAGCAGAAAATATGAGACCAACTATCCACCCTCTATGGGAGTTGGGCTACAATTTTCAGAATTCCCAATTGACATTATTTCTTGAGTAACTGTTAATTAATTTACCTTTGCAATTCACTACAAGATGTGGTGCTGGCCACCAGTTTGGCTGGTGGCTTCCAAAAAAAATTGGATTAGTTCACGGGAGTCAGTGCAGTGGTGGTATGCTATCAGTTTGGCCCGGTTCATGTGAACCAGTAGTAAAAATCACTACCAGTTCAGCCCAGCCAGCAATTTAAAAAAAGCCTCCGATCAGCTGAAAGGAGGAAAGACTGAAAAGCGCATGGGAGGGAGGGAGGGTCGCTCCTAGCTTGTTCTGACCCAAGCCTTGTTCAAATCAAACACAAAGTATGTATAAAAGCAAACCTTTTTAATGTGGTGCTGTGAATTCTGTGCATTCACAGCCAAGAGTCATTCAAAACTAATTGTCCCTTTCAAGGTTGTGAAAGGCTGCCAAGAACAAAAGACCAATTGTAGATAAATATCCAAAGCCAGAAGTTTCAAAAAAACAAACCAGAGTAAGCAGGGCTTCAACGAGGACTGAGTAGAAAGAACTTCTTTGCTTCCTGCAAAGAAGCCAATCCCGAAGGCTGGCTTTTATCCCTTATGGGAGGGGCCATCACCTTCCAGCCTTTCTCCCA